TTGATAGATGACAGTCCCTTTGCCTCCCAGCCCCTGATTTTCTCCTCAGGGAGGATGGTGGGGTTGGGGGCTCACCTCTGTGAGACCTCGTTGGTCAGTACCAGGCCCCTACCCCCACCCCCACCCCCACCCCCAGGACCGTGGCTCCTATTCGGAGAGCATCTTTGCTTTGGAGTTGGGGAGCTTCTCCCTAGAGCAGGCAGTAGGCCAGTGAGGGTACAGGGTGACTGCACAGAAGTAGCACCATGTTTTGAGCACCTTCTGTGTGTCACACATCACATCACATCACGCTGGGCATCGGCCTTATTGGTTACCCTCACAGCAGCCTTCGGAGGCTGTTTCTTCCACCCTAGAGGTGACACCTGGGGACTGCAGAGTGGCTAGGTGACCTGCAGTCTTAGGAAAGGTTACCTGTCTCTCTCTCCACCTTCCTCTCTAAACAAAGGTGCCTTGTCTAAGGTGGCACTTTTCCAAAGAAATGAAATACAAAGGCACTGAGTCTTAGTGAGCGAGGTCCCTGGGTCTGAGCTCCTCTGAGGTCGCAGCTGGTGTGACTTCCCCTCCACAGGGGTATTTGTGGGGCTGACGGAAGGTTGGCGATCTGGCCAGATGCCTCTCAGGGAGCGCCAAGCCCTCGTTTTCTGGGATTCTAGGATTTCAGCCCGCTACATAATTTCAGAAAAGAATTACCCTCTGCTTTATTAAACTTGTCTGCACTTAGGCAAAGTGGGCTGTTTATCCTCTGTAGGGCTTTTCTGTAAAGGAGGGGGGAAGAGTGAGCATGTGCAGAAATCCATCACCTTGCTTTCCTGTTTCCAGGCAACCGTGCAGGATTACAACAAGTCACATGATACCCCTGCTGCCAGGGAGAAGGGGAAAATGGAAAAACTGTGCTATCTTGAGAAAGGGGCTGGGTATAAGCAGAGGACTCTGAATTCTCCTCCAGAAATATTATCAACAAGTTGTCAAAAACCCGGAGGCTCCAGAGGGCTCCTGGCTTCCCAGCACTTGGCTCAGCCTCCTGCCGGATGGGCCACATACCACCAGATATGACATGGGGGGGGGGGGGCGGCGGTGAGATGGAGGGGGAGTCACTGACCCAAGATTACCAAGCACCTGTTCTGGAAACCAGGCTCTCAGGGGTGTCATTAGTGAGAAGGTCTAATCCGAACTAGGCCTTGCTCCTGAATCCCCAGCCCCAGGATAATGAGGGGGCAGAGCCGTGGTGATTGGGGCTGGCTGAGGGGCAGTGAAGGGTCAGTGGGGACAGCTGGGAGGGGAGGAAAACCACCCATGGAGACCAAGTTCCCACTTCCTTTTGTAAAGCCTCCTCTTTCTGATCATGATTTATTTTGATTTTGGATGTTTTGATTTTTTGATCTCTCCTCCCCCGTGTGTGTTATGTACACACACACACACATGCTGCTGCTGTTTATATTATAGACGCTTCTATGGCCATTCATCCCCTTCAGTCTATACTTTTTTCCCCTGTAATAACATCCTCTGTGGCCCGAAGACTCCCTTGCAACCACAGGGACAGCTCCTTCAGGCTCTCCTGGGGCCGCTGAAGGGGGCGGGCGTGCCCTTGCCATAGGTCCCGCATACCAGCTTCCCGGAAGGCCAGGCTATTAGATCCAGCGACCTGAAGTAGGCTGGCTTCCAGTTTCCTCACACCCAGCAGTGCCCCCAGGCAAAGATGAGTCATCGGGCCCAGCACTCTGACTGGTCTTCCCAGTGTGCCCTGAGGTGGTTGTATTCTGTAGCCTGGACTGCTGGGTGTTTGCCAGCCTGGCTGCCTGGGGAGGTGAGCCCAGAGGGGCAGACCCTGGACACACTTAGAGGCAGGTGCTGGAGAGAGAGGGATGCCACCACCTTGGCACCCAGGGGCTGAACAAGAACCCTAGTCCCTTGTCACAGCCCGATGGGTGGGGGTGAGGTAGGGGTGTTTGGGGTTGGGGGGCACAGCAGCTTGCCCCTTTCCAGCAGAGCATGCATGGTGTATCGTCTCTTGTCCTATCCTTCCTGCATGTTTCAAAGTCCTGAAGGCCTCATGACAGGCCAGAGGCACCTCTGCAGTGAAAAGCGTTTGTCATCCTTTAAGTTGAACAAGAAAGTAAATAAAGAAAAAGTGAGTGGAGTTGGAGAGCCAAAGCCTCCCACAGCTCCGGTGGTGCTGGGCTCGTCCTTGCATTTCTCGAACAGATTGGGTTACACCTTTGTTTTTGAAGAGCAGGAAAAGTTAATGATTAGCTTGTCATATGAGGGGTCATTCTGTTACAATAGACGAGCGAATGAATAATGTTCTAGGTTTGTGACATATTTTCTCATTACATTCAGTGAGAAGAGAAGGCTTGCCTCATAAACACGGGGGGAATGTGGGCAGGAATTCAAAGGTGACAGTGGGGTGAGGCGTTTTTAATGCATCACAACTGCGGGTGGAAGGGAAAAAGACATTCCATGTCTGTTTAATATGTAACATATGGGTTCATGGGGGATGCTCGCTCGCAAGAAAGTGTTGGGTATGCAGTTGTCACAGAAGGATGGTGATGTGTGCGCCAGGCGGGCTGAGGTGGCCAGGCTGGGGAGCTGGGGTTAAATGTTCGGGAATTGAGGCATGCTTCCCAACAAGGTGTCCGACCTCATCTCCAGCTTCCAGGCCTGTGCTGGCTGATTCACACCCCCATCCACACAGCCACGAACACACGCACCGTGGTTCTAACACACACACACACACACACACACGCGCGCGCGCACGAGCACAGCATGCACATGCCTTCTAAGTGCAGGCCCGCGTTCGCCCTGTGACACTTGGCCGGTCGTTCGCAGGTCTAGAATTTCCTTTACAAGACACTCCAAGCCCACATTCCCAGGAAAACTTGAATAGAAGTGCAAAAGTGTTTGATGATAGAAAAAAAAAGCCAAAACCTGCCTGCTTGCAGTTCTTGTGTTGGCCAGAATGCTACAATAAACTGTTGCTTTCCACAGCTGGGAGGGCGAGGGCAAGCAAGACGGGGTGGGGGGTGGGGGGGGGGAGGAGGAAGCCAGGGCTGAGGCCAGAAAACTTGAAAGGCAAAATCAAAACTCAGGCTGAGAGCGCCCCTGGGGCGGCGGGGCCTGGCAGGGGGCGGAGGAGGGCGGGGAACGGGTTACTGCGGGCGCGGAGCAGGCGGCAGGGGCGGGCTCGGCCCGGCCCGGCCCAGCCCGGGCGGGCGCCGGGCGCTGCCCCTTTAAGGCGGGCGGCGCGGGCCGGCCGAGCGCCGCTGTGATTGGCGCGGCGGGATCACTGGCTCCCCAAGCCGGGCCCGGGGGAGTCGGCTGGAGCCCGCTGCGCTTTGATAAGGTCCTGGCAACTCGGTAACAGCCTGAACGCTTGGAAATAAAAATAGCCCCGCAGAGCCATGGATTTCGCGGCTGCCCGGCGTCCGAGGCGCTCGTCTCGCCGGCCCAAAGCCCTGCTGTAAAAGGTAGGGGTGGAGGCGCGGCCCCAGCAAAGCTGCTTCAAAGAAAGCCCTCCCGGGACAGGGGGCGAGGTCGCGCCGAGCCTCCTTGCGCGCGTCGGGGACGGGAGGGGGTCCGGCCGGCCGGAGACCGGGCCGGGAGGGGCGGTGCGGGCCGGCCGGCCCCCAGGAGGGGTGGCGGGGGCGCGGAGGGCGGCCCGGGGCGCGGAGGCGCGTACCTCCCTTTCAGGACCGTGCGCTCGGCTCGCGCCTTTGAAGTGCACTGTTAAATCCACAGCGCAGTTTTTGTTGGAAGCGCCCGGAGGACATTTGGTGCGCGGAGTGACTGCTGGAAACAGGACCTGTGTTGAAAGCCGGGCCGGGCGGGGGCCGGAGAAGCCGGGGGTGGCCGCGGCGGGGGCGGAGGCCCGCTCGGATCTTTTGCATAAAAGGGGCGGCGGGGTCCGCCGCTTCCCCTCCCTTGCCGGTGGATCTCGCTCTAATCCCGGATTGTTTCCCCGCACCCCCCCTCCCCTGCCGCGTGACTCCCCATGTTCCCCGACGCCAGGACCGGCCCGGGGGGGCCCGGGGCTGCTGCGAGCCGATCCGGGGGCCGGGGCCGGGGCCCTGCCCGGGGCGCCTGCGAGGTCTCGCCGCGGAGCGCGCGCGGGGATCTATGGTGAGTGCGGAGGCTGGGGCTGCGGGCGGCCCGCGCGCTTTGATGTGCCGGGCGGCCCTTTGAAGTTGGCAGGCCGGCTATTTCGGGGCGCGCTCCGGGCGGGCGCGGAGGAGAGCTTCGGGCTCGGCGCCCAGCGCTCCTGGAGGCTTGGCCCGCCTGCCCCGAGCGCCCTGCGGGCGAGCCCCCTTCCCAGAGGGGTGGTGGGGGCCTCAGGGGAGAGACTTCTGCAAGTGGCGGCTGCGGCGGGGCGGAGAGGGCGCAGATGCCCCCCGGGGAGCGCATCGTGGTGGTGGTTATGGGATGTGAGTGGGGTTGTGCGTGTGCAGGGCTTTGGAAGGTGAGATGAAAGGGTGGCGGCGCCCCCCCAGTTGCCCTCCCCTCCGCCCCCTCCCCTCGCCACCCCCCCTCCCCGTGCCCCTCCTCTCCTCCCGCCTCTCCCCCCTCCCCTCCCAGCCACTGGTCCGCGCTTTGGGGCCCCGAGCGCTGGCCGAGACTCAGTCTGCGAGCTGGAGCGGCCCGAGCCTGGGCTCCCGCGTCCCCCGCGCCTCTCCTCCCGCCTGGGCCCTGCGCCCCTGGCCGCCCCGGCCCCTTTGCGGACAGACACGGACTCCGCGCGTCGCCATTTCTGGAACAGGCTCTGCTTTCCGTGCTTTTTCTAAAGCGAGCAGCGGCGCCGGGGTCCGACCCGCGCCGGGATCGGGGTTTGGCGAGCGCCTCCCGGGGCTTCGGCCCCGCGCTCCACGGCTCTGGACGCGTTCTGTTGGATTTGGGCCGGGGGACGGGCCGGGGTGTCGGCGGAGATGAGAGCCCGGCATCGGGCCGCCTTCGTCTTCCAGGTAACGGGGGCCGCTCCACCTCCCCTCCGCCGGGGTCACGCAGCGCTCCCGGCAGCCCGGCCCGGCGGCCTGAGGCCCCAGGCGGGGACCGCGCGCACCACCCTGGGCCGGGAGGACGGGCCCGCGTCGAGGGTCGCGCTCCACGCCCCCGCCCTTCCCGGCCCTCCTTAGTTTGATCCTTCCTGTGCTGGGGAAAGCGGCTTGTTTATTGGTGAGATAAGGCTTTTCTTTGGGAAAAAAAGAGACAGGCTTGATCGAGGTCAGTAGAGTTTGGGATTCTTGGCGTGGACTGTGGTAGCGTGAGACGGTTTCTGGTCCGGTTTTGTAGGGTTCGCGGCTCCGGGAGGTGGCTTGGGAGGCGGGGAAGCCAGGGTGGTGGGTCCCCAGGCTTCTCTTCTGTCTCGCAAAGTTTGAAGATCAAAGTCTCGTCGGAGTGAGTTGATTTCTGGTTTGGGGGCGCGGGGGAGACAGAGGTGTAGACCGAGCCTTATTCTAGGCGGGAGGCGGGGGCGCAGGGACTTTACAGCTGGGGAGGGAGGCGGTTTCCAGCTAGGAGTCCGGGAGCCCGTGCCGCCCCTTGCTGGGCGGGATTCTTTCCCGGTCGAAGAGCTGAATTTTTAAGGAGAGGGAAGGGGGGGCGCAGAGGGAAGGGGTGGGTGGGGGGAATGGGAACCAGATGCCGGGGAAGGGCACGTTTGGAGCTCGAGTTATCTGTGCGGAGAGCCGAGTGGGGAAATTTACCGAAATTGGTTTCACCTGCACACAGCCCTGCGGCTCGGCTCCGAGTGCGTGTGTTTGGAGTTGATGCTGGGAGCGGGAGGAGGGAGTGGAGCGGGGAGGCGCGGGCCGGCTGCCTGCGTGCTGGGGCCAGTGGGTTTTTGGGAAGGTTACGTCTCACACCTCGCATGGCCCTTCTTCGCCCCCACCACCCACCCTCCCTGCTCCCATTTTACCTTTCCCCGCCCCTTCCCCGTCAACCCCCCTCAAACTCCCTCCACCCCCCCCCCCCCCCCGCCCCCAAGTGTGCCGGGAGCTCAGATTTCGCCTTTGAAAAAGCGTCTGATACCTTAGATGAGCACCTCGCTGATAGCTGGGTTGCTTGATTTGAATTTGAGGAGTTGAAAAGCCTGTTTACTTTCTTGCTTTGATGTTGGGTAGATCTGGTTTTGATTAGATCAATACCCTTTTCTCTCCCTACCCTCCCCCCTTCCTTTTCTTCCCAGAAAGGAGGCTCAGATGAGCCCCTGCTGACTCGAGAGAGAAAGAGAGACCACGCTGATCGCTGAGAGGAGCTGGAGGAAGAAAACAATTCCCAAACTCAGTGAGAAGAGCTGGCTCACCATGAGTAGTGCTGTGTTGGTTACTCGCCTGCCAGACCCCAGCAGCAGCTTCAGGGAGGATGCTCCCCGGCCCCCGGTTCCGGGGGAAGAAGGGGAGACCCCACGCTGCCAGCCCGCGGTGGGGAAGGGCCAGGCCACCAAACCCATGCCGGTCTCCTCCAACACCCGGCGGAACGAGGATGGGTTGGGGGAACCGGAGGGACGGGCATCTCCGGATTCCCCTCTGACCAGGTGGACCAAGTCCTTACACTCCTTGTTGGGCGATCAAGACGGTGCTTATCTCTTCCGGACTTTCCTGGAGAGGGAGAAATGCGTGGATACTTTAGACTTCTGGTTTGCCTGCAATGGATTCAGGCAGATGAACCTGAAGGATACCAAAACTTTACGCGTAGCCAAAGCGATCTACAAAAGGTACATCGAGAACAACAGCATTGTCTCCAAGCAGCTGAAACCCGCCACCAAGACTTACATAAGAGATGGCATCAAGAAGCAACAGATTGATTCCATCATGTTTGACCAGGCGCAGACCGAGATCCAGTCGGTGATGGAGGAAAATGCCTACCAGATGTTTTTGACTTCTGATATATACCTCGAATATGTGAGGAGTGGGGGAGAAAACACAGCTTATATGAGCAACGGGGGACTGGGGAGCCTAAAGGTCGTGTGTGGCTATCTCCCCACCTTGAACGAAGAAGAGGAGTGGACTTGTGCTGACTTCAAGTGCAAACTTTCACCCACTGTGGTTGGCTTGTCCAGCAAAACTCTGAGGGCGACCGCTAGCGTGAGGTCCTCGGAAACGGTCGAAAATGGATACAGGTAAGACTGGCAGGGGTGGAGGGGTGGGTGGCGGATGGCATGGATTTTGCAGATGTTTTGAGTTATGTGGGGTGGATGGTTGGATGGATGTGCTGCAGAGGCTGACAAAGGTCCGTTGAGAGCCAGGATCCCTGGCCATGAATGCTTTGATCTTGCTTTTTGTTGTTGGGGGCGGGGGAGAGGGGGCCCCCACACACCTAAGTGCCTGCAGGCTGCCAGTGCTAATTCAAACACTGGTGAGCATATTCATTAATGCGGGTTACTCAGTTTCCTGGGCCAATCTTAGAAACAGGGGTGGGGGTGGGAAGAGGGGAGGGAGGGGGAGAGAGAGAGAGAGAGAGAGAGAGAGAGAGAGAGAGAAACAGCAGCTTAACAACAGCTTTTGATGCCGCTGAGTCACCAAATACAGTAAGCACCAGTTTTGGAAGGGGTCATTCACCACCAATCAGTGGAGAGTGGAATTAATGTGGCTAGGGAGCCAGCTGGGTTGTGGTGGAGACACAGGAAATAATGTGTGTACCCATTGGATGTGGGGTAAGTGGGATCTTTTGAACTTTTATGTGAAGATAAGAGCCAACAATTAGGTCTGTTTGTAGAATTAGGTCTCTGCCCGGCAAGAAACTCTTCTCACGAGGGAAGGCCCTGTGGCTGCCCCAGACGAAGGACCCTTAACGTCGGAGTCTGCTGGTGCGTGAATGTGGGTTTTCCGTGCGTGCACCTGGAGGCAGACCGCCGCTGATTACGTTGTTGCTCAGTGTTGATGGAGCAGAGGTCTGGGCCAGCAAAGACTGGGGCCCTGGAGAACTTTCCCTTTTTGAGGCTTCAAAGAGAAACAGTCCTTTACAGAATGGCCAAGTCTTAAGATTCTTGACCGTCCAAGGCAACTTCAGACCTCCTGTGAGCATGAGTTTTTCTGCTTCTCTCCCTCCCTCCCCTTCCGAATATTCAAAAAGAGAACGAGCTTCTTAATTCTAGGTTGTTGCTTATGGCATGCAAGGGAAGGGGGGTGGGTACTTGATTGCTGGCTGAAAGGCTTGCCTTGCTATCCATGGTGTATTGCTTCAGGTGTTAAAGACTGTGCAGATTGCCCTGTCTCTTAAGGGGAGGGCCTCCAGTCACCACCAGCAGCAACAGCAGAAGGGGCAGAGCAGCTAGGTCTGAACCTAGGAACGGAGATGATTTAGGGGACCGCACGCCAAGACAGTTGACTTCTCAGGAAGGGGATGGGCTTGTTCTCCAACCACCAGGGGGCGCTCTTATATCCTTGGGAGCCATTCATAGACATCTGGTCTACACCTAAGTGGAACCGATGGGCTTTTGCAAAGAAGCAGAGGATCACCTGAAGTTGTTTCCGCATCAATAAGCTTATGGTTTCGGGTGGCTTTGAAGGAAGATACTGGTCCTGGCCTCTGGGCTGGGCAGTCCCTGGGCACCTGCTGCGACTGCCCCATTTAATTAAGTGAACATGGAGTAAACCTCCTCTGGTCTCATTGCTCTCCAGTTTGGCAGTGGCCGCTGAGCTCCCTAAGGCCTGTGGTAAGGCGGCTGCTTCCCCTGGGGCCTCTGACAGGGGGGCCTCTGTGTCAGGGCCCCGAGTGTCACCTTTGTAAATAGCACTGTGTGTGGTTTTGGATGTCATCAGTAAGAAGGCACTGGGAGGCAGGACCCTGCCGTGACCCCTCCCCTCCGTGGGGGGGCAGTAGACCCAGCGTTGGGGTGCCCCTCCTCCTTCCACGGGCCTCAACCAGGATTGCACCAGGATTAAACTTTTGGGAGGTTACTCTTGTGAAACTTTTTGATCCTTTGTGCTTCCATGTTTTCCATGGCTGTGAACCATGGGCATCAATCACCACTACTCAGGTGGCACCTTTTCATTGGCCTCTTGACTTTCCATACTACGCTTGTGTGTACTTTTCCCCACTGTTGGGTTGAAATGAAATATTGTACCGGGACTTCGCGAAGCCCAGATATCTTAGGTGGGCGTTGTCAAAGAGAATTTAAGCCATATCCAAATTTCGTTTTAACATGCAAGACATTCAAGTGTACAGCGGTGTGTTTGGAGGTGTCCCAGATTATTGAAAGGACTGGGTCCTGGCTCTGTCTACCACTCACTACCTGGGTTTAAGCCTTTCTGAACCCCATGCGCCATCCATAAAATGAGTGGGCACCATCCTTTCTGTTTATGTCATAGGTTGCTAGTAGGATGTTTTGAACAGATGTCTGTATAAAGTGTTGTAATTAGTGTAATTTAATAATGATAACTACTGGGTATGTGCAAAGGGCAATCAGGTTAAGATACCACTTTCAAAGAGTGACTCCTGGGTTCTAGCCCATAGTCACTGTAACGCGTCAGAGCAGTGGTTCTCAACCTTCCTAAGGCCGCGACCCTTTAAAACAGTTCCTCATGTTGTGGTGACCCCCGTTTCATTGTGACAAATTGAAAATAATTAAAGCATAGTGATTAATCACAAAACAATATGTAATTATATATGTGTTTTCCGATGGTCTTAGGCGACCCCTGTGAAAGGGTCGTTTGACCCCCCAAGGGGTCGCGACCCACAGGTTGAGAACCGCTGCGTTAGCGTGTTCCCCCAAGCGTGCCTCAGCTTTCTCTACTTGTTGAACTGGAGTCTGTCTTTGCAGCTGGTTCTTGGGGTGTAGGGATCCTAGCTAATTCTGTAAGTCTCCCTCCTAATTCACTCACTCATCGACAGGGTACCTGACCTATGGGACGGGCTTTTATTAAGTGAGTGAAATGAATGAAACAGAAGTAAATGAGTCCGGCGGAGGCTCTCCCTTCATCAGCTGGTGAAGCCCAGTCTGGCAGCTGGATGCCCAGAGCACTGGCTGGTCTTCCAGGCCCCGTGTTTACCCTGGGCCCTCAGAGGAGCCTCATTTTTAATGACTTGTTTGTGTCCTTACTGATTTGGTGTCAGGTTTAATATAAATAGTTGGAACGGAAGAGCAGGAATTACCCTCAGAGGGAAGGACTCTGGTTTGCCAGTGGTTGAGTGGGAGGCCTGGGCTTTTGATGGTCTCTATAAATAACCTAGAGCAAGAGTGACCTGTTGGTAGAAGCACGTGTAAAAAGGCCGGCACATAAACACACACAGAGTGGCGAGGTGTGTGTGAAGGGGGCTGTGGGATTAGGAGCTGGGCCCAGCATTTATTTTCGGAAGGAGAAGACAGTGTGGGGCGCACAGAGCCCTCCCTGCGTCCTTCCCTCTCTGCACTGGCCCTTGTGTGTCCCTGCCCAAGGCGGGTCTCATCTGTCTCTCATTGGACCCTCTGCTCTGGCCTCACTTAAAATAAGCCGGGCCCAGCAGATGGCCCTCTGCTGGCTCCAAGTGCCTCCTGTTTCTCTGAAAGAACTCGCTGATGAGGCCCGTTTTTGTGCGAAGCCATTGGAATCAAGCTTGGCTTCAATTATCAAAGAAAATGATGCCATAGGAAAGATATGCTGGAAGCAGTAGGCCACAATTAGGGTGGAAGCCCTGGGGAGGGCAGTTTGCTAAGACACCCCACAGTAAAAGTTTGCTGGTGTTCTCAGGGCCCAAGTGCCCCACGCTCCCGAGTGCCCGGCCCCCACCGAATGCCCCCTGATGTGGCCTTAGACCAGCCGTGGGCAAACTACGGCCCGCGGGCCGGATCCGGCCCGTTTAAAATGAATAAAACTAAAAAAAAAAAAGACCGTACCCTTTTATGTAATGATGTTTACTTTGAATTTATATTAGTTCACACAAACACTCCATCCATGCTTTTATTCCGGCCCTCCGGTCCAGTTTAAGAACCCATTGTGGCCCTCGAGTCAAAAAGTTTGCCCACCCCTGCCTTAGACTATGCTTGCCGAAGACAGTGTTGCCTTTTGGACCGTGACTGTGGGAGTAAATTGTCACAGGGCTTCTGGAAGCCCTAAACACACAGCCTGAGAAGCAAGTCATTTTTTTTAAAGTCGCATTGTTTTGAGAGGGGGCCCAGAAGGAGGCCCCGCAGGTCAGTTCTGCTGTGTTCTCTGTAGAGCATTTGCCCTGGTGCTTGGGGAGGGGTATGGGCCTGCAGCAGCTCATCCAGACAAGAGATGAGAATAGATGGAGCAGCACATACTTCCCCAGGGAGGAAGACCCCCGCGTCCTCCGCCACCTGACAGCCGAAAGCCCTGTGCACATGGGCGTTGCAAACTTGGTCCGCCCAGTGCAAAATGTGTACCATGGGCCTCCACTCACCCTAGGAATTTAAAGTCCTGCCAGCAACTGGGAGCACAACAGTCCTGAAGAAATAATCAAAGCATCTGGGTACAATTACTGTGGCATGGCCGAGTTTCTTTCCTGTGTGTGTGTGTGTGTGTGTGAAGTAATCACAAGAAAACAGCTTTAATTCATTTTTTTTTTTCATTATCTGGTGATTTTTGACCAAGTTTGGGGTTCTTAAAAATTGAGTTTGTCTCCCTCACAACCCTGCCTCCTTCCTCTCTGCCTGATCTTGTTATGATTGTAGGAAAGTTCAAACACTTCATTGCAGTCAACTGAGCTAAGAGCAGTGTATTCTGTGTGTAATGGCTGGTCACACAGGAGCCCTCTATTTTGGAAGCAAAGGGAGACGCGTTTATTTTGGGATCCATGTGTTCAAGGAGGGCAAAGCTGGGAGCACACGTGGGATCTGAGTGAGGTGCCTTTTTTGTTTGGGGCGGGAGGAGGAGGGATGCCTGTTGAGTCATTTTCTCCCTGTGGAAGTTGAATTATAACCCTTACATTTGGGACGTTGTTGATATGTTAACACCACAAAGATAGCAACACTGAAGTGGTAGAAAGGGTGTTTGGATGCTATTTAAGGCTGTTTTGATCTTGTACTTTGCCTTTGGACTAAAAAGAAAAAACAAAACTTGTCAGCAGCCCATCGGAGGGACCCAGATATTTTAAGGAGGTTCAACAAGGTTTTGTGCTTCTGCCCCATGTCACAAGCGTACGCTCAGCTTTGGGGAGACACACGTGAGGAAGTCGGATGGGTCCTGGCCCTCATGGAGCTTCCAGTCTAGGTGCTCAGAGCGTGCATTCGGTGTGAAAACACGCCAGTGCTGTGTAAGTAACTATAAGTCGTGATAAATACCACCGAGGGAAAAACAGCCACGGAGCTCTCTGTTTGTGTTGGCTCTTGGTTTTGTGGAGAATTAAACCGATCCCCCCAGTTACAGTGCCCTTCTCGGGCCTTGCAGAGGGTGTGAGAACTTCACGCAGCTGGCGGTGTTTGTACTGTGCTTGTCTGAGGCGGATGCCCCACGCCCACGGGGGCTGTGGCTTGCCTGTGGTCGCCCAGCTGGGTGGGCGCTAAGCTCGCACCAGCTCTCAGCCTCTTGATTTCTGTTCCCCATCAAGGGCTTCCCACGCTTACTTACTTCTGTGCTCCCGAGGACAGGGAGGGATCCTGGAGAAGTTATCTTGTCCATCTCGCTTTGAGCAGTAGCCCCATCCAAGCACCCCAGGTAGTGGGGCACTCTGGGCTACTTTAAAGACTTGGGCAATTCCATAACCTGCCCCCATCCACTTCGCGGGTCCACGTGGACCCTTAGAAAGTAAAGTGCTCTCCTCTTTCTGACTTACGAAGCCTGTAAGCCCATTTCCTCTCGTTTTGCCTTTGATGCCAAACAGGACCATTCTCTTCTTTTTTAGTTCCCTTGTCGACTAGGAGACTGTTTTCACTGAATCACACCTCATTCCTTCTCTTCTCCAGAAATACCGATTGCTTTTTTTTTTTTTTTCTGCCACTACTCCTCTCTCTAGCCCTGGTGCCTGGGAATCCCAGAGTAAGAACATGCGGACCAGCGCTAAGGCATGGAAGATCTTACCATCCTCATTTAATCGTCATAAAGAATCCTGGGGGGGGAGTAAGATTTCTCGCCCTTCACAGATGTGGGAACAGGGCCAGAGCGTGCAAGTGACTGTTCAAGGTCACTGGGCCCAAGGTATTGGATAGGTTCCATTGCAGTGTTCCCCCTTTGCACTTTCCAGCTGATTCTGCATCTGCATAACATCTCTAAGATCTGGCTTTATGTTCCCATCTAGTTCAGTAGAATGAATCAAGGTGCCTGCCAGCCGAGCTTCTCAGGGAGTCCAGCTGTGGGTTCCACATGGCCCAGTCTCCAGCCTGGTGGCCTCCCAGAAGGCTGTGGGGTCCCACCTGGGTTTCCATTGTTTCTTGGATGTTTGTGAGGATGAAAGATGATTGGGCAGCAGATGCTCGATAAACATCAATGACAAGAACAAAGACCCCACCCATACTAAGTACTCAACCAATGGTAGCTCTTGGTTTTTATCCACATTTCTAAACTGAGGGGGTTGGCTTAGATAATGTCTAAGGTTCATTCTGACTCCAAAATGTTATGATTCCGAATGTGACTTACCTTGTTAGTGCTGTCACTCCTGCTACAGGAGTGCAAGCCCCTTAAAGGCAGGGGCCGTCCTCCTCCTCCTCCTCTATCCCATTCGGTCTGTCCGGCACCTGCCCCATTTCAGCTCTTGTACCAAATTGTGGCAGCAACTCCCTGACCCCCACCCCCACCCCTCCTTCCAGTCCAACCTGGTGCACCCTCTCAGTCACCCATGCTGCTGGGAAAACCTCAAGCCCTCTCCTCTCCCTGCTCCTTCCTGACTCAACTAGCTCCACCCACTTCCTCTCCAGTCTGGGCAGGAATGAATATATATATATATATATATTGATTTCAGAGAGCGGAAGGGAGAGGGAGAGAGGGAGAGAGAGAGAGAGAGAAACATCAATGATGAGAGAGAATCATCGATTGGCTGCCTCCTGCACGCCCCCTCCTGGGGATCAAGCCCAAAACCTGGGCATGTGCCCTGACTGAGAATCAAACCATGACCTCCTGGTTCAGAGGTCGATGTTCAACCACTGAGCCACGCCAGCTGGGCTGGGGAGGACTTTCTAACTACTTTTTGCTTCCCCCATCCTGGGTGGCATCTCCTCGAATTCCTGTTCACCCACCAGGGTTCACCTTGTTTCCATCACCCTCCAGCTAGAAACATCCCGGTAGCTCTACCAGGATGACCTCTACCAGGTCACTCATACGGCCTCTTATTCTGGAGTTTTTTAAATGTTGAGGCTAGTCTTTGTATCAGGAAGCAAAAGAGAGGTTGAGAGAGCACCAAACAAACCAATCCCATGCCCACTGGTACCAGCTCTGTGGTCCAGGCCAGGCTGCTGTACTTGTGGGACCGCCATGGGCACAGGGCTCAGCGCCTCCCCCAGGTGGCCATGAGGATTAAATGAGATGAGTAGAAAGGTGTGCTCCTCTTCATGGGCCTGGAATTACACCGTCTACTTCCCTTGTGGTGCCCACTCTCTCCCCACATATGGTGACACCCTTACCAGGCCATGGGTACCAGGCGACCAGAGACTGGGGCTGGGTATACCCACAGTCCAATGCGGTGCCGAACACATCGTTGGTGAGTGGGAGCTCAGTGCACACGAGCATAAGACTGCCTTGCCCTTTCATGGCCCTGCATCTGCCAACCCCAGGCCATCGTTATAAGACCGGTCGCAGTGGCCCGACGGGGTCGCAGTGGCCCGACGGGGTCGCAGTGGCCCAGTGGGGTCGCAGTAGCCTGATGGGGTCGGTTCTGTCTCTGAGCCCACTGTTCCCCTCCAGTTGGTTTCTTTGTCGTTGGCATGACTTGGTGGGCCCATGGAGTATGCCCGTCTTTGTAAACGAGGCTGCTTGCAACTTCAGGCTTCACAGGCCCTTCCTGCAGCCCCAAGACCACCGGGGCCCCTGCCTCGCCGCCCCCCCCCCCCCCCACGTAAGTCCCTCGCTGGTGATACAAGAGGAATGCAACCCAGCAGGAGGCAGACATGCTGGTTGTTCTGGGAGGAGATCAAGAGGGCAAAATGGGGCGGCAGAGGCCACTGATACAACAGGGGGAGACACCGGAGGAGGGGCCTGGACCCTCCTTTGAAACAGCTGTGCTGCTCATTTTAATCCCGCCGGCCTTAGCCAGCCTGGGAGAATGAAGGGCAGGGGTGGGAGGGAGGATGCAGGGGACACACAGAGGCCCAGCTGTGGATGGGGTGCAAGTCCTAAACATTGTCTGAAACTTTTCTGTGCCATCTGTCCAGCTCACTGGCCCCAAAGTTGAAATGTGAAGGTCATGCCAGGCCTCTAAGTGGTTGCATCTCAGAACTATGCTAACAGCTACGGAGGAAACTTATTAAGATACCTTAGGACCCTGACATTGTATGCCCCTGGTGCTAGCTTGGACAGGGGACAGGGAGGGGGACGACACCCCATCTCCACTCACTTACTCCCCTCTTCTATTCCATAGCCTCCCCTCCAAGACCAGAGTCCTGTTCCTTCCCATATGTGTGTACGTAGAACTTGCTAGGATCCCCTGGCTGCCTCTGGGGTCCTCCGTCCCCTGGCAGACCTTCCTTTGGGGGCAGAGGAACCCAGCCTGTTTTCTCGCCAGGGCCAATCAGTGTCTTATAAGCCCCTGCTTTCTGCCCAGAGAGCAGCCGGCCCTGGGCAGCAGGTTGCCATTGAATGGATTGTGGGATTGTGCACTCGTCCTGGGGCCACCTGGCTACCTGGGTTCCTGCTGAGCATCCGTGACGCACCGCTGTCGTACTTTCCCTGCAGGTCCTTTAAGAGGAGCGATCCTGTTAACCCGTACCACGTAGGTTCCGGCTACGTCTTTGCACCAGCCACCAGTGCCAACGACAGTGAGATATCCAGCGACGCACTGACTGACGACTCCATGTCCATGACGGACAGTAGCGTGTAAGTATTCTGGCGTTCCCATCACATGCTTGGCATGTGATTCACAGGATCGGCTGGCCAGAGTCCTCAGCCATCCTCACCTGGCTTTGCAGATCCCATCTGTGGACATGTGTTTGGTGGTTGAGGAGGGTGACATGGCAGGTGGGGTGGTGGTAAGCTTAGAGCCTTGAAGGGAAGGTTGGGTGGTACCTTAACAGAAGAAAACTAAGGTAACGTATGGAAGGTTGAGATCTATACATTTGAGTGTAACCACACATCTTTTGGTTGTCATTTTGCCTGCCTTCCCTGTGGGCACAAGTGCTGGGTTGGCCTTGAAAGCCAGGTTCTATAGAACCAACAGGTGGGGGACAGGGTGGCGTCAAAAGGGTTTGTGTTTAGTTCATTGTTTTTGAAGGAAAAGGCATGGAAGGTGTGAGTCCAAAAGTGTCAGTTTCCCTCATGAATGCGCTCACGTGGACATCGTTCAACTGAATAAGTCTCGGTGGATGCCTGCTCTGTGTCGGGTGGGGGGTTCTGCCCCAAGTTTGGGTTCCCTCCAAAGTCCAGCCTGATCTTGGCTCTTTTGCAGATGGGTGGCTTTGATTTCTGAAAGCCATGCAAGTCATCAGGGTGGTCTGCTGAGGTCGGCAGGGCAGCGGGCGGGGTCATGCTTTGAGCTTTAGGTCATTTGTGGTCATGCATGGAGGCGAACAGCAGACATTCTATGTGAATTCCAGTGTGTGTGTGGGGGGGGGGGGGGCGCGGTGGGCTGGGTATCCCCATCTCCTGCCATCCCTTGGGAGTCTGATGCCGGAGGCTGGAGGGAGAGCCTGGCCTTGGGCAGAACTTCTCAAGACCTTTCACCCAGCACCGGTCGAGAACCACCATTCTGGACTTGCTCTTCGCAGGCTCTCCCACAGATGTTTTCAGTAGGACCTTCTCCCGCTCAGGGAGCAGTTTTAAAAGGCAAGCCCGTTGAGCTGTGTGAGTTCTGGCGCACTTAGAGTGTGTTCCTTTCACCTTCCTAAAAACCGGGCTGCCTGTTCTTCCAGTTTGTTTGAGATTATATGGTTTTTATTGGCCAGTGTCCTGTTGCTTGGTCTCTGGCATGGAACTAGTTAGAAGGAAAGTTGATGAGGCTGGTTTGGGACTCTGCTATTGGTTAAAATCCTGGTGGCTTTTATTGTGTCACCTCAGATTCCCCTGGTGGTGAAGGGAGAAATCCTTAAGATGAAGCATCCTACTTTAATAAAAGAATAGCAGTTTTGCCTTGAGAAGCAGTAAGTGAGGGTACACATCTTTCCTCCAATGTGGAGGAATGAGGAGTTCCACAGAAATAAGTCAGACTGAACTCCTTCAATATCCATGTTGAGAAAAATGATCCTTTGATGGACATAGTTCTTAATACATTTTTACTCTGTCTTTATGGAATAGTATTAGGTAGGCATAATTTATTTCTTGATCCAAATAATTAATATCAAAATCTGTTTTTGTACTACGTTGTATTATCTCATAGATTATCAGGTTATATCAGGCTATCTGCCCCTACACGTGGTATTGTGCGCCCCCCCATTTACTTTTTTTTTAATGTACATTTTATTGACTTCACAGAGGAAGGGAGAGGGAGAGATCGAAACATCAGTGAGAATCATTGATTGGCTGCCTCTTGCATGCCCCCAACTGGGGATCGAACTTGCAACCCAGGCATGCGCCCTGTAATCAGGATTTTAAAAAGATTCCCAGGTGATTCTAATGTGCAGCCAAGGTTGAGAACCACTGTCCTAGACCAGTGGTTGGCAAACTCATTAGTCAACAGAGCCAAATATCAACAGTACAACGATTGAAATTTCTTTTGAGAGCCAAATTTTTTAAACTTAAACTATATAGGTAGGTACATTGTTATTAACTTAATTAGGGTACTCCTAAGGCTTAGGAAGAGCCACACTCAAGGGGCCAAAGAGCCGCATGTGGCTCGCGAGCCGCAGTTTGCCCACCACGGTGACCATAGGTCGATGCTCAACCACTGAGCAACACCCCTCCCATTTTCAAAATGAGTTTTTCTTTTCCTGGTCACCCTGCCTGCTTATGTATGTTTATTTGTTTGCTGCCGTTGTGTGCTTGCTACTGGTAGCATTACTCCTTCAGCTTTTGTTGTTTTGTGGGTTGCGCGGGAGTGGTAGCATTATGTGAAATAGGTTAAGTCGGATTTGAATGAGGGCCTTGAGTGACTGCAAAGTCAAAGGTAGTTTGCGGAAGGCTTCTGTTTAGTTTCCTTAGAGACTGTTTTGGCCGGCTTGCTGGTCCTTGCCTGCATTTATTTCATTTCCACCCCCATCTGTGTTCTTCTGGCTTCATGATGAGATAGCTGGGGGCGTGGTCCCCATACATGGTTGAGCCTCACAAGACCCAATCGGGAAGGTAGGCCGTCCTGTGACTGACAGGTGGAAGTAAGGTCCACGCTGCCATAGCTTCTCATGGCAGGACCGGCCTCCGCTCCAGGCCAGACACCGGCCCCTGCCCTTTGCCTCTCCCCTTTCCCCACGCACCCACATTTCCAACGTGAGATGTGTTATTAAGACCGGTGGGTAATGAGACCTTTGAGTTTCTTTTTCTTTTTATTTATTAGTGATCACCCACACTGCTGCTTTTTTAATGGGTTGGGGGGAGGGATAGGAGGGAGCAAGTTCTAACTTCTCCCCCGCACCCTCCCCCGTCACCCCTCTTCTTTCATCCCCTTCCCAAAAGAAAACCTTCCTCGCTTTTACAGAGGTGACTTTAAAGCCCCCCAACCCCCCACTTTAGCTAAAGAACTTGCAGGCCTGGAGCCGGGAGAGCCTCTCCTCTCGTGGGATCGGACAGGTGGCCTTTGCGAGCCAGCTGTTCTGGGCAGAAGGTAAGTGTGGCCAGTGAGGTCCACTTCACATGGAGGCAGAGCCCTCACTTAGTGGCTTTCTCGCTGGGGCACAGGACATTCCCTTGGGCCCCCACTGGCAGGACCTCGGGGATCCCGCCTAGGGTGAAGCTGCGTGGGCTTGGGGGTGAGGAAACCAGGATGCCAGCCTCAAGAGCAGGTGCCTGGGAGGGCCGGAGACCTGGGGGCCCAGCGCTGGGTGCGTGCCTCCTCCCAGCCAAGGGGGCGGGTATCAGATGGGGCCGCGACAGCTGGACCCGCTGGGCCTTCCTGTGCCAGCCGGGAGCGGACATCCTCTCTCGGGAGTGGTTCGTCCAGGGGCTCCGCCTGGTGCTGCCCAGAGTGGGGGACAGAGGGGTCTCCAGAGCCCATCAGATGGGCTGAGTGTTTGGGCTTAGACGTTTCTGTGGGTGTCAAGCTGCCAGGCACTGGGCGTCCCCGGGGCCCTCCCCGCGCTCCTGCCCAGCGGACTTGGCGTGCCCTGAGTGCATGTGATCTGCCCAGTGTCGGGCGGGTCACCCAGGATTCCCAGGGCTGGGATCAGACCCCTCCTCAGAGCTCTGCCAATTGTGGGCCTGGCGCACATGAGAGTGGCGAGCGAGGAATAAAGTGTGCGGGGGATGAAAAGCCGAACTGAATCGCTTTCAGCCCATTGTTCATCCGGGGAAGCTTAGAGGGGATAAGAGGGTAGCAGGCCCTTTGAAATTTCCTTGAACAAGTGAATAGGAGCGCCCCATAAAGCATGAAAAGGCCCTGGCTGTTTCTCCTGGCCACAATGGCCGGCTCGGGCGGGGAGGGGGGCGGCCAGGGGCGGGGAGGGGGCCGGCTGCCCTGCTGGGAGCTGAGGAGGGGAGGTGACTGAGGAGGGGTCGAGGGGGTCACGGGCGGCCTTCAATAGACTCCAGAAGGTTGGAGTTCATTAGACACAAGCCCGGGGAGGCCATCGTCTCATTGGCGATAGAACCAATGAAGTCCCGGGGCCTTTGCAGGGGCCTGGGTGGAAGTTGGGCAGGGCCAGCCTGCACTTGCTTGTTCCAGGGGCAGCGGGGCCTGGAGGTCCGGTGCGGGCGGGGATTTAAAGAAACCAAGGCTGGCTTCTGTTTTCCCGCCAAGTAAAACGCCCTGTTAAGGATGGCTGGGACGGGGGTCCCGAGAGGCCTCTGAGAAGGCCCTTTTATGAGCCTATTACTCTGAAACCCACATTCTCGGAAGAAATGGCTTTAAAATTTTTTTCTTTTTCTTTTTTTGAAAGTTAGCTGCCAGATTCCCAGCCAAGTCCCAAGCCCCGTCTTTGGAGTCTGGGGGGGTGGGGGCGTCCGCTGGGCATTCCCGGGCCTCAGGCCTAGGAGGTGGAAGCCAGAGGCTGGAGACCTCAGCAGCAGCAGGTCCCTGCCCCCCAGGTGTGCCCTGTGTTAGGTGGCAGGCATCGTGTGTGCCACGTGCAGCAGCTGGACTTGAAGGCCGTGTCCGCCCCGGGTGTCCCCAAATCAGTGCAGGACGCTCCCCTCGCGTCCCACACAGAGGGCAGCGCGGGTTGTTTTATTTATTTATTTTTATTTCCCTATATCTTATTTATGGGTTTACTTTGGACACCAGTGAAAGCCTCCGTGTGAACTTCAAATATTACCTTATCTTACAAACCGGGCTTTTGATGTTGGCTGTGATCAGAGGCCCTCTGAGAGGCTGCCAAATGGAACTGAGCGTGGACGCCTGAGCGCGGGAGCCGCTTTCAAAGTCCCTGGAAAACGACATTCAGGTTAGGCCGGGCACCACCGCGGAGTCAAAAGGCTAAGCTAATTGGCTTGGCTTAAATGGCAGCTAAATGGAGTCCACACTTCAAACCCGGTGCTCCCAGAAACAGCTGGGCCCTTCTGGGCCCGGCAGCGGCTCGTTAGCTCACATGTCCGTAATGAAAGGAGGCCGTGTAGGGACCGGCGCGCGGCTTCAGCTCGCAGTTCTGAGCAGCCAGGAAGCTGATCATAGACTTTAGAGCCCGAATAAAAAGGAGAGAGGCCCACTTTTGGAATGAGGGGCTGTTTTGGAAGAAGATGCTTGGCGAGGGGAGAATTAGAGCCATATTTCCTTGCAGGCGCCTGTCAGGCCTCTTGGAGCCTCAGAGTTGAAATCTCCCTTTTCCTGCACTTGGCTCCATCAGCTGCCCTGGGGGATGGGGGTGCTGGTGGTGGAGTCGTGGTGGTGGTGGTGGTATGGGGGTGCTGATGGTGTTGTGTGTGGGGGGGGGGGGCGTTGGTTGGTTGAGGCAGTGCTTAAAAACCATAATTTGATCATTTGTTCCTTTGGCCTTCAAATGGGCCAGCGAACTGCTTCCTCTCACCCCCATACTTATGTTCCCCAATTCTCTTTTCTTTCTACCTCATATGGGAAAAGACAAACGTCAGAAAGCCTGACCACTGATTTACGTCTGGGAAGAAAGGAGAAAAGACTACTAGAGGACAGAGTCTTGGGGGAGATGGGCGGGTCACAGTGGGGTCATGGGGTGCTTGACTCCTGGCCCCCAAGATTGTCGGGAAGAGGCCTAAAGCAGAGACATCCACCCTCTTAAGTCCCGGAAAAGGGTTGCTGGCCAAGAGAAAGGCAAGGACTGGCCTTGCAGCCCTGAGGCAGCAGGAGATGGTTAGACCAACATGAACCCCAAGTTGTGGGCCCTCCACTATCCACCGCCCCCCCTTACCCCACAGGGGTTTAGGTTAGCGACCAGGAGATACACCTGGCATGCCCCCTAGCCAGTGAGTATCAAGTGGTGGGAGAGGACTTTCCAGAATGTTCACCAGGTCTCCCATGGGTCCCTTCAGCATATAATGCACCCCTATGTTCAGTCAGGAGCTTTGCCTCCCCAGTCGAGGAAGGTGTAGGTGGTTGAGACACCTGCTCTGGAGCCCGCAGTGGCTTGGGTTCTGATCCATGGACTGCCCACTGCTGACTGTGACGCTGATCATCTAGATGTGGTGGAGTTGGGGTTTTGTGGGAACGGAGTTGGGCTCTATGTTAGGAACGTCTGACCCCCAGTAGGAACTCAGTGTGGGGGGCCAGCAGCCTTGGTTGGAACCCATCACCTGGTTTCCTGCTCACTCGGTATGCCCTGGAGAGCCCGGGGTTCTCTCCCTTCCCAAGGTGAGAACATTGAGTGTCGGTACATAAGCTCCAGGTGGGCACTAAGCTTCTGCACTTGGACCCTTTATCCTCCCTGGCCTCCAGGGCCCCGTCCAGTCCCCGGCCTCATGAGCAGGAGACTGTCTGGGCGACCTGACCTGTGCTGGCAAGTGGCTGCCACTTCCCCCAGCGCTTGCTGCCTCTGCCCTGGGCCTTGCCCTTGCCCTTGCCCTTGCCCTTGCCCTTGCCCTGGGACAGGACTCAGTGTGTCTAAGGCCTTTAGATCCTGCTCTCCTTCTGCCCTGCACCTCGATACGATGATCCTTCATGTGCTTCTCAGCCAGGTTTGGCTAGCAGATCACTGATCTGTGCCCCGTATCATCCCCGGTATCATCCCCGCCAAGGCCCTGTCCGGCCTTGGTCAGCAGACTTCCGGAAAACGCAGCCACTGGAATCCTAGGGCCTCGCAGACCAGGGGCCAGAGGTCAGCCGCTGGCTCCCTCCTGCGTCCTTTTAGGCACTGCTGGTTCCACCCACTGCTCCCTCCCATGCACAAAACACCAGGGAAAGGGAACAGCCAGACCCCTCATTGCAATGCTGCCAGCCTCCAAGGATGATGCAGGGGGGAGCTGTGTGACCATGAGGCTTTCAGCTCCGGAAGGGACAGTGAGGGGAAAGTTGTACCCCCTTGACCATTCGGCTGCTCTCAAGAATCAAGTTCTCTTCTAAAAAGCCACAGCCACGTCAGGTTGTGTTTCTGGTGGAGACTGGCCGGAGTCCCGAGTGCAGGCGTTTCTTACCTCTTCCGCCCATGTTTTTCAAATACCACGAGGGAGGACGTAGGGGCCCGTGCTGCCTTCATTCGGGCCTTTGCCAGGACATCGTTGACAATACACTTCCCTGTGAACCACCTGGCATGCCCACAGCCAGTGAGCACTAAGTGGTGAGGGGCCAGGGCTGAAATTGCAACACCCTTCCCCCCGCCCCGCCCAGTGGTCCTCTCTCCCCATTTCCTGCCGTGTGTTTCATCATGGTAATTACCACCTCTGACATACTACAGGTTTTGCTTTTTTATTTTTGTTTATTGCCTGGGCACCCATTAGGATAACGCTTCATAGGCCGTCCTCTGCATTTTTCCCTGCTCGTTTGCCCAGTGCCTAGAACGAGGTTTGGCACATGGTAGGTATTCAGATACTGCAATGAACTGCACAGAATGCCACAGACTAGGGGCTTTGTCTCTATGCCCACCTTGGTCATGTCTCTGAGACTTGGTTGGTTGGGATTGGAGCTGAGGGAAGGGAAAAGCCCGAGGTTACCCTGCTGGTGATTTGTACGAGGAAGACATTTGGAAACGCCTGGGAGGGTGAGGTCGGAGAGTTGCGCAGCTTCACTAACGCCTGGCCTGGCCCTGGTACGCGCCAAAAGGCACACCTGGTTTCCCGATTCGGGGTAGTGTGTTGTGGTGGCAACAGATTCTTGGGACGACCAAAAGGGTCTTAGGATCTCCTGCTTCGGGCACCTGTAAAATGAAGCATCTTCATTCTGGCTGGGCTGGCTGGAGTGGAACCCAGTTCTGCGAGAACAGCCCGAGAGAAGAGCTTACCACCCTCTTTCCAAGTCGGGGATCCTGAATCCGAGAGGGAGCCATTTCCAGAGATGGTTGACGGGCAGGGGCTTGGCAGTGTGATGGTGGATGACTTTCCCACAGGGACAGCCATGGCCCTGGGACAGGGTGCACTCTGGGAGGTGTGTGGCCCCGTCCTCAGTGGGATCTGAGCTTCCTGATGCTGACAGCATCTCGTGAGCCTGCGGGTTCTGTCTTTTCCCTTCCCTTAGAGATGGAATCCCTCCTTACCGCGTGGGGAGTAAGAAACAGCTCCAGAGAGAAATGCATCGCAGCGTGAAGGCCAATGGCCAAGTGTCTCTACCTCATTTCCCGGTGAGTATAGCCTAGAGGGGGAGGTAACTGTTTTCAGCCACTAAGAAAAGGGGTGGGAGGAGGAGGGGCATAGAGACAGTAGGAGGGGCAGTGCTGGGCCTGCTGGGAACAGGATGGGGAGGGAAGACCAGCAAGGAGTGCTTACGTGGTTCGTTGGGTTGTGATGCTGAGCAGAGGGGAGCTTGACATGACCCTCCTGAACCCTCCCATCTTCTCGTTCATAAAAGAAAATTCTCTACGAGAAAGAAAACAAAGCAGTTCCTCTGGGAAACCAGGACTTGATAGCAGATCGTCCACACGTCTCCTTGGTGCCACCTCAGTGGGAGCATCCTGAGGGCAGGGAGTTTTGTCTCTTCTTAGCCTCCCTGTTCACAGAAACGAACAGTGCCTGGCACATGATAGGTGCTTGTTGATTGATCGATTGAATGAATGAATGAATGAGGAAAAGGAGGCTCGAGGAATCTGCTTCCTGTGGGAGGAAAATTTCATCCCTAGGACATTCTTGTGTTGACGGCATGGCTCAGTCGTTTCCATCATCCATGTATCTATTGACTTGGCCATTTCTCCTACTGGCCTGAGGCCCTGGAGGGCAGCGATAGATCTTGTCTGTTTCCAACCCCAGCACGCGGCTCAGTCCCTGCCGTAGGCTCTGCACCTAATGCTGCCGAATGAGTGACGTGTTGGCAGCGAGGGTGGCAAACAGCTTCTTCCTGCGGTTGCGATGAGAGGCCAGCATGGCATGAAGGGCCCCTCTGTGCCTCCCTTCTCTTTCCGTGTCCTGGAGGGCAGCCAGCACGTGCCCCTGTGCGTTTCAGGAGCTGTGCTTCTGGCAGTGCTCTGAGGTGCAGGTGGCAAGGGTGCCACCCCTGGGGTCGGGGGTGGGGGGGGTGGGGGGGGGAGAGTGCCCATTTTAGAGCAGCATCTGTGTTCACGAATCCTTCCCGAGAATCCAATTGGTCCATGGGTTATGTTGCATTTGGAAAATTAACACTTGGAATTGCTACTCCTGTGTTGCATCAGTGCACAGATTGTAGCCAGAGCAGCTCGCTCTGAAACCTTGCACAGTCCGGGGCAGACCGAGCTTGTCCTAAAATTAGCACATTAAGAGTGCTTTTCTGGGGACCTCCAGCATCTCCCTCCTCAGTAGCTCTACCCCCCACATACAACAGTATTGATGATATAAACATTTTTTGACAGGGCAGGGGTCTATGTGTATTAATAAAGGAAACTTCTAACGCCCTGGCTTGTAAGTTAGACGCTTCTGTCCTGGGGTGCAGACCAAGTTCTCCAGGAGGCAGCCCCGTGGTGGGGGAGAGGGGAGAAGAGCCATCTCCTACCGAGGGGGGCAGGCTTTCTGTCCCTTCAGCAGGGTCTGCAGCTAAACGGTCACCAGGCGAGGCCCACCCATCTGCCAGGGGGAAGGCTGGCCTGCCCACGTCGGCCTTCTGCTGCCCCCACCGCACCCCAAAGAAAAGGGCAAAGCAAGAGGGAAATGAGGAAGGAGGCAGGACTCCGGGGAGGAGGTGGGCGGGAGGAGGGTGGGCGAGATGACAGGAGGAGAGAAAGCCGGGCGGCTGTGGGGGTTCTCTCTGTTTGCTGCTTTTGGCAGGCGAGCTCGGTGCCTTTTTATATTCCGCACTTGATTTGGAGATGCTCCCTTTCCCTTGATAGAGCAGCTTCAGGCAGCCAAACTCAGCAGTGTTCTGCTACTAGCCCGCAGCAGCTTTCTTCATTTTCTGTACAAAGAGCTGGGGAGGGGGCGGGGGAAGCAGGCAGATCTAGGACAGTGTTGAGACAACACCGCCTCAAAGGTGCGCAGTGTGCGGCCAGGAAATAAATTACCGCTCCTTCTGATCCGGCCGCGTGACTCCCTTTCTTCCCTCCCTCTGCCTCCCCCCCACCTCCCTTCCAATCTTATTTTTTTTAATTTCCAACTCCCTTTCTGTTTAGACTCTACTTTTTATTCCTTGAGTTGGGCTCTCTCCCCTCCCCACCTCAGAGGCTGCCTCCTTTTTTTTGATGTTTGACAACAGTCTTTGAAGATTTTCGACTTCAGAGTAGCTACTGATGGGCTGGTTGTACTACAGAGAGAACAAGCGGGGCCTCTCGGAGTGCGACCAACTGCTCCTGCCCAAGGCAAACGCTGGTGGGGACCATGGCACTCCATGAGGCCACGGCGCCGGCACATAAAGCTCCCCGGCAGCCCGGCCTCGCTCTGCCCGGACCTGAAGCCGTCGAGCACATCGCCAGCCCGGGCAGCTCCGGCGCGGCCACCACGGGCACCGCGCGCCCAGCCGGCTCAATGTGCCCGTGTCTCTCCCTGCACCCTGTAGAGAACCCACCGCCTGCCCAAGGAGATGACCCCCGTGGACCCCGCCGCCTTCGCGGCCGAGCTGATCTCCAGGCTGGAGAAACTGCAGCTGGAGCTGGCGAGTCGGCACAGCCTGGAGGAGCGGCTGCAGCAGATGCGCGAGGTAGTGCCGGCCCCGCCCCGCCCCGCCCCGCCCGGCCCCATGCGTGCCTGGGTCCCCCCTGCTCACGGCCCCCCTCTGCTGCCTTCCCTTCCAGGATGAAGAGAAGGAGGGGTCCGAGCTCGTGCTGGGCTTGCGGGAGGGGGCGCCCCCCCAGCACCCCCTCTCCCTCCTGCCCTCCGGCAGCTACGAAGAGGACCCGCAGACGATTCTGGACGACCACCTGTCCAGGGTCCTCAAGACCCCGGGCTGCCAGTCCCCCGGCGTGGGCCGCTCCAGCCCCCGCTCCCGCTCCCCCGACCACCACCATCACCAGCCGCTGTACCACCCCCTGCTCCCCCCTGGGGGCAAGCTGCCCCCCGCCGCCTCGCCAGCCGGCTGCCCCCTCCTCGGGGCCAAGGGCTTCGTGACCAAGCAGACCACGAAGCACGTCCACCACCATTACATCCACCACCACGCCGTCCCCAAGACCAAGGAGGAGATGGAGGCGGAGGCCGCACAGCGGGTGCGCTGCTTCTGTCCCGGGGGCCCCGAGTATTACTGCTACCCCAAGTGCAAAAGCCACCCCAAGGCTCCGGAGCCCGGGCCTGCCGAGCAATTCGGGTAAGTGTTCGGGAGTGGGCTGTCCCAGTGGGGCTTCTCCCAACCACAGCCCTGGGCAGGTGTGGGGTGAGGTCAGAGGTCACTGGGCGTTTTGCTTCCAGGAAGAGGGGCACAGGGTAGGGAGGCAGGGGGAACAGGTGCATCTCGCCCCCCACCGTCCCATCTGCCCCGCGGGGGCGTCCCAGAGAGGTAAGGGGTGTGGTTGTTGGTTCCCCGCAGCGGCAGCCGAGGCAGCACCCTGCCCAGGCGCAGTGGCAGAGCCGCCCAGCCCGGCCCGGCCCCGGCCGCCAGGGAAGGAGCCGGGCTGCAGCTGCCCAGGGAGGACGGAGACAGGTCGCAGGATGTCTGGCAGTGGATGCTGGAGACCGAGCGGCCGAGCAAGCCCAGGCCCCATAGGTAAACACGCCGCCGCCGGCGCCACCCCCAGAGGGCCGGGCAGTCCGGAGGTGTGGTGGGTTGGCTATTTTTGCCGTCGGCCGGAAGCAAATGTAACTGTTTGCTCCTGCCATCTTAATATTAAGCGTTGGCCTGAGCAGACCACAAAAATGCCATGTTTTGGCAACGCCCCCGTCTGTGTTATGGTAGTTATTTTTTCTTCTCTCTCTGAAGGCAGAATAGAGAAGTTGCTCTTGAAGTCACATTTTCCAGTTTTTCTAACCCAATTTCTTTTTCCTTCTGCTTTCTCCTCCCTTTTTGTTCAGTGCCCAAAGCACAAAAAAGGCCTCCCCGCTGGAGTCCGTCCGTGTGCCCCCCGCCGAGCGAGCCAGCCGGCACCACCTGTGGGGGGGCAGCAGCGGGCACTCCCGAGCCGCCGCCCGCGCCCACCTGTTTACCCAGGACCCTGCGATGCCCCCCCTGACCCCTCCCAACACCCTGGCCCAGCTGGAGGAGGCCTGCCGCAGGCTGGCTGAGGTGTCCAAGCCCCCGAAGCAGCGGTGAGTGGAAGCGGCGTCCGAGGCGAAAGGCTGGCGCTGGGGGTGGAGGGCGTGGACGTAGAGACCTGGCCTATGGCCAAGGGAAGGGCCTTTTTCTGGCCGCATCACATTGTCCTCTCCAGCTTCTAGAAATGGTTGCCTTAAGTTTCATTCGTCCTGGAGAGCTAACCGGGATCTGTGAGGCCAGTCGTGCAGTCATTCCTTACAAATCCCATTCCTTACCCGGATCATGTAAGCCTGGTTCGATGAGCAAATGAGAAGCCATGACTGAGCCTGTGGGGCCTCTGGGGCCTGCAGCCCTCTGCCTGGCTCGCAGGGTCCGCCCCGGGTGCCCACTTGGGCTCAGGGGGGCCGTTCCCAAGGCCTCTTCCAGGCCTCCTGGAGCCCCTGCGGACACCAGGCCTCCGTTGGTCTCCCACGGCGGGGCGTCAGGTCTGTGTCTGTTCACAAGGCCACAGACAACCGTTTTCTGTCTGCTCCCCATCGGCCCTGGGCACGCAGGCGTCCCTCTGACCCTTTGCTCTGGCTGTGTCCTCAGGTGCTGCATGGCCAGCCAGCAGAGGGACAGGAACCACGCAGCCACTGGTCAGACGGGAGCCGCGCCCTTCTCCACCCCCGGCCTGGCCGCAGAAGAGTGAGTGTCGGTGCCGAGACCACCCTGTGGTTTTCGTTTCAGGGGTGTTCACAGTCGGCAGTTGGCGATTTTCGAAAACCTTTTTTAATATGTAACCACCCCGATTTTAACGTGTTAGTGACAAGGAACAGTAAATACAGCTGTTGCCATAAATTAGGATCCTGAAAAGCCTGCCTGCACTGAGCCACGCACTGACTTGCTCACAAGTGCTCCCCCCTGGAGCGCCGATGGCTCAGGGTCCCGGCACACTCTAATCAGAGGCTGAGGCCTCAAGCCTCGAGCAGGATGGATCAGAGGGCCCCCAAACCCGGACGCCAACGTCGCCCCCTGTAGCTCGCCAGCTAGCCATTGGGAAGCCTCTCTGTGCCACACGGAGCAGGAAGGTGGCTCGCCACCGTGGCAGAGATGGAGGGAGGGCGACCTTCGTTGTTTGGCTTGGGGAAAACAGCAGCTGCCCTCATGGCACTGTGATTCCTTTTGTAAATGTGCACGCTCACCACATGGACGGAGAGGCCTGGCTTCGTGTGATGACAGGATGGTGCGTGTAAAAGGAAATCTGCTGGAGAGAGCTGACCTGGGTCTGAATAATTAAAGTGTTTTTTTCTTAGCAGCTTTATCACGAGCAGTGAGCAGTGTTTGAAGTCCTGAGCAAGCCACCACCCTGGGCCCTTCTGTGTTAATTGGTTGACCTTAAGTCTACCAGCTGTTCTGGCCCACAGCTTGTTTTTGTTTTTAAGCCAGTCTGCAAAAACTCCAAATAAGTGGAGGGGGGTCGAAATGACTGTGGGCTCACCCCCCGCACACTGGGGGCTCTAGCCAGGCCATCCCAGGACGTGCACTGAGTTTGTCTCCAGTGTACCCTGAGCTGGAGTGTCCTTGTGGCTCTGTAATGTGTCTCCCCATTTGTGCTGACCTGAAAGAGACTGCTCTGTCCCCCTGTTTGGTAGTAGGAAGAAAAACAGGAGCAATTTGTGCAACTGAGGGATTTGCCCCTGCCTGTGCCCCACATGGTGACCTGGGTGGACTGCTCACCAGAGGTTGCCTCTGATATGGGGACCCCTGCAGCCTCACTTTACCTCTGGAGACAGTGTTTGGAGAGCGTGCGTGTGTGTGCGTGTGCGTGTGTGTGTGTGTTTCCGTGTTTGCTCGCGTCTTCAGATGCTGAGCTTGCTGTGTTCCATCTTATTTTCAGTCACAAAGAGCCAAAGAAGCCGGCAGGGGTCCACGCACTCCAGGCCAGCGAGCTGGTCGTCACGTACTTTTTCTGCGGAGAAGAGATTCCATACAGGAGGATGCTGAAGGCTCAGAGCTTGACCCTGGGCCACTTTAAAGAGCAGCTCAGCAAAAAGGGAAATTATAGGTAAGAGTCCCGTGGCTTCTTTCAGCTCCTGAGTTTGTTTGCTCAGAACCAAGAGCCAGAGCGACTTCCCTGGCCTGGCCAGACCTGGGGGGGCCACGAGGGCCTAGGAAGTGGGAGGTGGGGAGGCCGTGGGCGTGGGCTGCCGCCTGCCGCTCCATCCCTTCTCGTTTCCTCGCGCCCCTCACCACTCTCAGAAATAGCACCGCAGCGGCGGCGGCAGCAGGGAGGGCCTTTCTACCCGGTGAGCAGGATGCTGAGGAGAAAGGTGGCAGGAGGAGAGCTGGGCTTGGACCACCTTATGGGACTCTACCCGAAAGGGAGAGAGGTGGGGGCGGGGGGGGTAGAGAGAGACGGATACACAGACCGATCAGGAAAGACTGCTGTCCTGGCTTGGGCGTCAGAGAGACGTCCACACACTGAAGGCCTGGGGAAGGGCTGAGGCCATTGCCCGGAAACGCAGGCCGTGTTCCTCTTACTCAGCTGTCCTGCCTGAAGAGCTGCCTTCCTCTGTGTTAAGAGTCACGTGAAGCAGGGTGCTCTTCTGTCCATAACAAAGAGGGGGCAGGCCCGGCCCGTGTGGCTCAGTGGTTGAGCATCCACCTATGAACCAGGAGGTCACGGTTGATTCCCGGTCAGGACACATGCCCGGGTTATAGGCTCGATCCCCAGTGTGGGGCGTGCAGGGGGCAGCCGATCAATGATTCTCTCTCATCACTGATGTCTCTCTATCTTCCTCTCCCTTCTTCTCTAAAATCAATAAAGATATTTTTTAAAAAACAGAGGGGGCAGGACCTGTGGGTGGGCACTGGGTGGACAGGGTCCTAGGAGGGAATTGCCCGCCCTCTCGGCTTCCTTTCCGGCTCTGCACAGTGGAGATGCCCGCCCAGGCCTTCCAGGGACCCAGCCGGCCTAGAGCTGAGGGCCGCGGCATTGCTTGTTCCTTGGTGACTCCACCTTAGCTCATCCTCCTGCCCCTCCGTGGCCCTCCTCCCAGGGGACTATGTGTAGGCCTGGGACGAGGGGCAGGCAAGTACTTACCACCTGCCAGGTGGGCACGGGCTCCTGGACCCAGGCGATTCCACCTCCAGGGCCCCAGCACCCGTCACTTCCTGAGCAGCCACCTCCACCCAGCCTCGGATTTGGGCAGGGGCCCAAGGGATTGCTATTTCAGAGGAAGGGGTGGGGTTCGGGCCAGGACCCTGTCGGTGGCTGGGAGCAGGGCCTGGAGCTGGCCTCGTCCTTCCCATCGACACCTGGGCTGAGACAGTTCTGAGCCTGTTGGAGGCTTGGGGAGGGGGCCTGGCCGCCGCCTTTATCTGGACCGACACCAGGTGAAACTCATTCCACAGGGGCGCCTCCAGGGATCCGTTTTGATCTCGGCTTTGGCTCCGCCGGACTTGGGGGAACGGCAGGTGACCTTCAGGGACAGGGGCCACGGAGCGCTGAGCAGAGCAGCTGCAGGGGCGGCTGGGCGCCCAGCCACTCCGGCCACATCTGGCTCTGATTTCTTTTTCTGAGGCGCACTTAATAAGCCTGGCTTTGAAGCCGGGCCGGCCTCCCCTTTAATGCACAAAGACTTGCACAAACGGTCCGCGCTCACATTCTTTACTGATTGGATCAGCCTGTGGCCAGGCCCCTCCCAGCTCCTTATCGCTCTGCCTGCTCTCCTGGCCAGAGCGGGCCCCCCTCCTCCTGGGTCGAGGGGGCGCAGGGTGCCATGCCTCACCGCGCCCCCCCCCCCAGCAGGGATGATGCTCCAGCATTCAGTTCCCACCCCCACACCCCCCACAGGAAAAAGCCCGGGCAGCGGGGGACCTGGGCTGCGTTGAGTAATCTCACCGTGGCAGAGGTTCAAAAAGAGAACAGCCCCTCTCGACGTGCCAGACGCTATTGGTGCCAGATGTCAGAAGAAAGCAGCGTTTGCCACATAGAGTGTGTTGCCCTGGAAAAGCCCGCTGCTTGGGGGAGAGGAGGACAGCGAGCACGTTTGAAGTCCTGGGGGGCGGGGGGAGGTGCCGAGGGAACAGCGCTTCTCTCTTTTCTGGAAGAGGGTGCAATTATGTGAAAGGTCGTGGCGTGTTTGCCGTGAAAGCCGGCCTGGTGACCCCCAGGGGGTGGTGCTGGGGCTGAGGGTGGCATCGGAATTAGAGCCTCTCATTTGGAAAAGTAGCTCTTCCCACCATCCTGCCGGAGTCTCCTGGGCCCCCTCCCCTCCCACTGCTCACCATTCCTCCCAGCCCCGCAGACACCCCGACCCCTCCACACGCCGTTTCCACCACTGGCCCCTGAGTGCCGCGCGTCAGCTGGGCCGGGAACACGGAAAACAAAGGGCCTTGACTAAACCCAGCTGTCTGACTTGACTTAGTCTTATCTCCCAGGAAAGTATTTGGCTTGCCTTCATTAAAGAAGAAGAAAAAACGCAGCACAAAGCAAGGGGAATTGATTTTAAGAGAAAAGACAAGAACAAAATACAGCCATAACCCTGAGACGCAGTTGGATTTTTTAGAGCGGCCCCCCCGCCCCCGGGAACTGGGCGTGCTTAATCCAATCGAGGGGTGCCCCTCGCTGGGGACGGGAAGGAAGGGGCCTGGGAGGACACCGTTTCCGAGGGAGACTCCGAGAGAGGCCACCCGGAGAGACTGCTCATTTGAGGCCATACAATTAAACAGCCTTAGAAGAAAAGGCCGGGGCGGGATGAAAGAAACCTCTAATCAATGGGCATAATAGAAGGGCCTTCGTGTTTGACCCTGGAGGCGGGGGGAGAGGGGTGGCTGTCCCATGGCTGCACCAGAGACCAGCTGGTGGAGTTGGCACCTGGGTGCTGGAGGGGGAAAGATCAAGAGGAAGTCGGCCAGGTCAGGGTGGCTGGTCTGGGGTCCCTAAGGGACCCCTCTCTTGGCTGCAGTGGCAAATGGACTCTAGGCCTGCTTTGCCCTTCCCGTCGTCCCCCCCCCCCCCCCAATAAAAAAGAGGAGAAAAAAACAGCTGTACTCAGCAAGGTGCATTTTCCACAGCGTGAGTGGTGGTGACAGCAGCAGTCCTGGGTTGAGGGCCGCAGCCTCGGAGCTGTTTGCAGGGCAGTCCTGCCCAGGCTGCCGTCGCATGGGGTTCCCAGCTTTGCTCCCCGAGTGACCTGGCCTGCCTGTTTGTGCCCGTGGCTTGGGGAGCCATGAGTCCCCTCGGTCAGATAAGGGCCAAGGTTGACCTTCACCCCGGCTGTAGCCGCCTCCTCGCCTTCCCTTAGTGTTGCCCTGCGTTTCTTTCAAAGCAGAAAATGCAATTTTACCAAGATGCTTTTTGGGGTTTTCCTTTTAAGGTATTACTTCAAAAAGGCCAGCGACGAGTTTCCCTGCGGCGCGGTGTTTGAGGAGATCTGGGACGACGAGACGGTACTCCCCATGTACGAAGGCCGGATCCTGGGCAAAGTGGAGCGGATCGACTGAGTCTGCGGGTCTGGCCGTGGCCGGCCGTGCGAGCCCCACAGCGGTCTGGGACGGGAGCCACCGCCATGCGACACAAAGAAGGAATTTAAAAAAATAAAAATGAAGACAAAGTCTAGGGAAGAGCTGGCCACTGGGCCTTCGGAGGGTGGGGGGAGGGTGGTTTTTCATTATTCATGGGCTGGGTACTGAGATAAGAGCCTGAACTATTTATTAAAACCATGACCACTCCTGGCTATTGAAGATGCTGACTGTATCTGAGAGACGGCCATCCGTAATATATGACTTCCTAGGGACCTGGAACCCATAAACTAAGAGAAACTGTGTATAGCTTCCCTGAACAGGAGCCCTTACTGATATTTATTGAACAAGTGATAATCCCTGCCCCCAGTTTATGGATATGCTGCTTAAGCCACGGAAGGGGAGGCAGGAAGTTTTCGGGGTTCTATCTAAACTTGGGAGCTGAGCTCGGGGTGCAGGGATGGTTTCTTCGTTACCAGAGGGATCGCGCTCCGCCCTGCGTTTTCTCCAAGTGAAGATAGACGTTTCTAGTGGTGCCCTGCCATTGACACGCAGAAATCGGTGCATTTTTTTTTTTTTCTGTGCTGCTGTATTTTGTCAAAAAGGTCTTGAGGTTTGACTTACGTGGCAACATCACCGCCACTTGGGGGTCACCTTGTTGGATGTTCATTGCTGAGTTGGGGGATTCTTCTGGGGACCCCAAGTCATCCCGTAACATCCTCCAGCTCCCCACCAAGGCCCAGCGCTCAGTGCCTGAGGCCCGCAAGAACCTCGTGGTTCGCCGTGCGCTTATTGGAATAAATCCTTCTAGTCCCCTTTTTTCCTTTTTTAACTCTGCGCCACAGCCATTCTGGAAACTACCCCCTGCCCTGCCAAGAAGCGAAGAGCTGTGGGAAGACCTAGCAGCACCTTGTCCTCGACACCTTCGTTTGTCCTCCGGGTTTTGTATTAAGTTAATCTGTACATTCTGTTTGCCCCCATTACCTGTACTATACGTCTGTATATATCGTCCGGCGAAGGAGTATTAATCCACTATCTCTAGTGCTTGACTGAATCAGTACAGTACCTGTACCTGCACGGTGTCCCCATCCGTGTGTCGCCCTATATTGAGGGCTCGAGCTTTCCCTTGTTTTTTGAAAGGGGTTTATGTATAAATATATTTTATGCCTTTTTATTACAAGTCTTGTACTCAATGACTTTTGCCATGGCATTTTGTTCTACTTATACTGTAAATTATGCATTATAAAGAGTTCATTTAAGGAAAATTACTTGGTACAATAATTATTGTAATTAAGAGATGTAGCCTTTATTAAAATTTTATATTTTTCAAAGCGCTGGCCTCGTCTTGGAATTCCTGGGGTGGGGGCAGGGCAGAGGCAGCCCGTGTGTGTGAACACCGGCTTCATTTCCCACCTGGACTTCTAGCCACGCTGGGCCGGCCCTGGGATCTGAAAAGGGATTCCTTCACCTGGAGCCACCTGAGGATGCCTGTGGGCCAGACCATGGGCAGCGTTTCCTCCGACGCCTTCCTCCCACCATCTGGTCCGCCCCTTCCTCCCCGGCAGGTGTCTCCAGTCAGACCAGGTGAGTGCACGTGAGGCGGGGCCGACTTGGGTTTCTGTCCGTGGCTCAGAGGTGAGGAGCCTCAGAAAACCGTGTGTAGGTCTGGAATGTTCTGTGGGGCCCCTGAACCTGAGCTCAGTGAGGTGCGGGCTGGGAAGGTGGCAGGGGGTTCAGGAAGGGGGCAGGACAAGGGCTTTCTGCACTGCTCAGTGGACACTTTGATCCACGGGGCCATGGAGGTTGGCGGGCAGTTAGCCCAACAAGGACGAGCACTCGGGGTGCCGGGCTGTGTTCCAGATCTGGGGGAGCAAGTCTATTTAATTTAGAGTCTGAGGATGAACTGTCTTTAGAAATAAAGGGTGTGTGACGACAGCGGGGTGGGGTCTGAAGCCAATGAGGTTGGCCTTTGGTCCCTGCCCTGAACACGCCGGAGGCTGGCAGGGTCGTCATGCTGGTCCTGGCTGTGGGGAAGGGCTGACGGCCGCACCCTCTGTGGTGGTGCTGTGGGCATCTGGCTGGCTGCTGGGCGAGTAGATGAGGGTATGCCTCGGCCCCAGGACGCAGCTTGCACCCCACCCCTCCTGGCTGGAACAGGGGCTCACAGCAGGGGTACCCGAACCCACTTCCAGAACTGGAAGGCTCTTTCCAATCCCAGGAAACATGCAACCTGTGCGCGCTGGGGGTGGGGAGTCATGGCTTTTACTGGTCAGGCCTTTTGATTCGTCCAATGAGGATAATGAGGTTGGGGCTCAGACAAACCCGGGCTCGAGTCCCAGTGCCACCGCCTCTAAGCATCATGCCTGTTTGTCCCTCTTCTGAGAGGGCCTGTCGCTCTCCTGCGCTCATGGTCACAGTCAGGTTCTCCGGGAAGTGGGCTCTGACATTGTGGAATCACCTGTGCCTTCCCAAGGGGAGGGCCTGGTTGTATTTGATTCTTAAAGGGATCTGGGACTCAAAAAGCTAAACCAGCGGTCGCCAACCGGTGGCCCATGGACCACTGCTGGTCCGTGAGGTCCGAGAGGCTGGCGGCCGCTGAGCTAAACCATGGCTGGTGCTGTCGGCCCCCCTTCCCTGTCCCCAAATCATTTAACACCCAGCTCTTCCAGAAACCCACCCTCCTCAGTCCTCTGGTCTCACCTGGGAGCTGGGGAGACGCAGCCGCCCGCCCCAGACCCAGGAACAGGACCTGTGCGCTCCGGCCTCTCTGGTGGCACCTGGGCGCGTCGGAGATGCCCGCCCTAGTCCTCGTGGGTCGTCCCCATTCTCAAGCCCAGTGGCAATGAGCTGCACCTTCCCAGTCCTCATCTAGGCACTTCCAAGAGCTCGGGCCTGCTTTTCTGATTAATTGTTAATGGGCAATCGGGCGAAGCGCTGCCCACCTCAGGCTGTCTCAGGGGCCAGCTTCCTCATACAGTATGCGGGGTGCTAATGGCCCCCTTCTGGGCTGCTGGGATGGGAAGGAGGTGAGGTGGCCTCGTCTCCGCAGGGTCTCAGGACGCTTCCAGCGCACCTCACCCCCTGGCCACCTAACCCCTGCACCACCCTCACCCCCTGCACCACCCTCACCCTCTGCACCACCCTCACCCCCTGACCACCCTCAGCCCCTGCACCACCCTCACACCCTGGCCACCTCACCCCTGCACCACCCTCACCCCCTGACCACCCTCACCCCCTGCACCACCCTCATCCCCTGCACCACCCTTACCCTCTGCATCACCCTCACCCTCTGCACCACCCTCATCCCCTGCACCACCCTCACCCCCTGACCACCCTCACCCTCTGCACCACCCTCACCCCCTGACCACCCTCAGCCCCTGACCACCCTCACCCCCTGGCCACCTCACCCTCTGCACCACCCTCACCCCCTGACCACCCTCACCCTCTGCACCACCCTCACCCCCTGCACCACCCTCACCCCCTGCACCACCCTCACCCCCTGCACCACCCTCACCCTCTGCACCACCCTCACCCCCTGTTCCACCCTCACCCTCTGCATCACCCTCACCCTCTGCATCACCCTCACCCCCTGTGCCACCCCTCACCCTCTGCATCACCCTCACCCTCTGCACCACCCTCATCCCCTGCACCACCCTCACCCCCTGACCACCCTCACCCTCTGCACCACCCTCACCCCCTGACCACCCTTAGCCCCTGACCACCCTCACCCCCTGGCCACCTCACCCTCTGCACCACCCTCACCCCCTGACCACCCTCACCCTCTGCACCACCCTCACCCCCTGCACCACCCTCACCCCCTGCACCACCCTCACCCTCTGCACCACCCTCACCCCCTGTTCCACCCTCACCCTCTGCATCACCCTCACCCTCTGCATCACCCTCACCCCCTGTGCCATCCCTCACCCTCTGCATCACCCTCACCCTCTGCACCACCCTCATCCCCTGCACCACCCTCACCCCCTGACCACCCTCACCCTCTGCACCACCCTCACCCCCTGACCACCCTCAGCCCCTGACCACCCTCACCCCCTGGCCACCTCACCCTCTGCACCACCCTCACCCCCTGACCACCCTCACCCTCTGCACCACCCTCACCCCCTGCACCACCCTCACCCCCTGCACCACCCTCACCCCCTGCACCACCCTCACCCTCTGCACCACCCTCACCCCCTGTTCCACCCTCACCCTCTGCATCACCTTCACCCCCTGTTCCACCCTCACCCTCTGCATCACCCTCACCCCCGGCACCACCCTCACCCTCTGCATCACCCTCACCCCCTGTGCCACCCTCACCCTCTGCATCACCCTCACCCCCTGTGCCACCCTCACCCCCTGCATCACCCTCACCCCCTGCGCCACCCTCACCCTCTGCATCACCCTCACCCCCTGCGCCACCCTCACCCTCTGTGCCACCCTCACCCTCTGCATCACCCTCACCCCCGGCACCACCCTCACCCCCTGCATCACCCTCACCCCCTGTGCCACCCTCACCCTCTGCATCACCCTCACCCCCTGTGCCACCCTCACCCCCTGCATCACCCTCACCCCCTGTTCCACCCTCACCCTCTGTGCCACCCTCACCCTCTGCATCACCCTCACCCCCGGCACCACCCTCACCCCCTGCATCACCCTCACCCCCTGTTCCACCCTCACCCTCTGCATCACCCTCACCCCCTGTCCCACCCTCACCCCCTGCATCACCCTCACCCCCTGTGCCACCCTCACCCTCTGCATCACCCTCACCCCCTGTGCCACCCTCACCCCCTGCATCACCCTCACCCCCTGTGCCACCCTCACCCTCTGCATCACCCTCACCCCCTGTGCCACCCTCACCCCCTGCATTGTTACCAGCCCGTCCTGTGGATTTTCCCCTCCCTCTCCTGCTCCTACACCTGGGCGCTGGCCCCTGCCTCCCCGGCCCCTGGTACAGAACCAGGGTGGTGGTGGGCAAAGGGCTGGCAGGCTGTTGGGCTGGGAAACAGAGACTTTCAACTAGAGCTGAGCTTTGGCCACAAGCATCTTACATTTTTCTTCCAGTCTGTGACCTTTCAGGTGACCTTTCACAGACTTGAAGGAAATACTTGGAAGCTCTATATGGACTCTCACCTGAGGTCACGGCTGGTGTAGTGGGGCTCCAAATGGAAGGTTTGGGACAAAGGATCCTGGTCTATTCCCTCCTCACCCAGAACCTGTTGGGACCGTAATCATGGGTCAAAATGAAGGACATTGGCAATGACCCCAAAGAAAATGTTCTGGTCTATTTGAATCATTCAGCCAGATTGGCTTTGTTGTTGTTTTGGTGGATGGGTTTTTGCTTGTTTTGTTTTACCTTTAGTAAGTAATTTGGTTGTGCAGAACCTCCCCAAATTACATAGGTGGTTCAACAGAGTATTTACATCTTCCTTCACTATCGTCATTTCACTTTAATCCAGATTTTCTAAAAGTCTGATATGAGAGGGAGCCTCCACTGTGTTCTGTGACTTGTCCCAGGAAATGATAGCATGCACACACACACACACACCCACCACTGCCACACACACACACCACTGCCACACACACACACACACACACACACACACACCACTGCCACACACACACACCACTGCCACACACACACACACACACACACACCCACCACTGCCACACACACACACACACCACTGCCACACACACACACACCCACCACTGCCACACACACACACCACTGCCACACACACACACACACACCCCCACCACTGCCACACACAGACCCCCACCACTGCCACACACACACACACCACTGCCACACACACACACACACACACATACCACTGCCACACACACACCACTGCCACACACACACACCACTGCCACACACACACACACACACACACACACACACCACTGCCACACACACACACACACACACACACACCCACCACTGCCACACACACACACCACTGCCACACACACACACACACACACACACACACACCACTGCCACACACACACACCACTGCCACACACACACACACACACACACACCCACCACTGCCACACACACACACCACTGCCACACACACACACACACACCCCCACCACTGCCACACACAGACCCCCACCACTGCCACACACACACACACCACTGCCACACACACACACACACACCCCCACCACTGCCACACACAGACCCCCACCACTGCCACACACACACACACCACTGCCACACACACACACACACACATACCACTGCCACACACACACCACTGCCACACACACACACACACACACACACCACTGCCACACACACACACACACACACCACTGCCACA